AGCGCCTTCATTTAGGATAGGTTTTTCTTTCCTACCAATCACGTTAATACTGAACAGCTCAAGAGTTAAAATATTTAATCCTCTGTTCTTATGTTCTCTGTTTTTTTCTGAAGAATGAGTCATATGAGTACGGATGGCCTTTTGTTATTCTTTAGTAAACTCAAACAAGAAATATGCCCCCATTAGAAAAACAATAAATCAGCAAACAGAAATATGTGAAACGATAATTTTTAAAAAATCTTGGCTGTATCTTACAGTTATTATTCCTTTATTTTTATTTAAAAAAGACAAACACAAATGAGTGTTCATAAAATGTGCTGGATTGCTAGTGCTGAAGCCTAAATCTTGGAACCTTTCGATGCTGAGGACCAGTAGCTGAAGCACAGTACACTGGAGCCCTTCTGGGAATGATGTGTACTGTTTGGAGCAACAGTGATTTCAGTAGAGACAACAGACAGCAACTGGTCCCTGAGCAGAGCCAACAGAGTGCCTGCTTGATTTGCATAATGCACCTTCACCTTCTACACAAACCTCATCGTGCAAAGGATAACCTACTTATAAAGATAACTCATTCTGAGAGTGCTCTTCTGATGGATTCAACAAGGTTTTGTTACTTTAAGATACAGCAAAACATGATTTTCTTGTGACTGTGTAAAAGTAAACATAGACCCAAATTCACAACAAAATTTATTCTTACATTTATAAATCTTTTCTGCCATTTTATGTTATTTTGCTGTCCAACAAACACAAATTGTAGAGTACAAAAGCCTTTACAAGATGTTCTCCTGCCACAAAATCTTGTAACTATTTCATTAAGTACTTCCTTAGGCAGATAGGACTCTATTTCTTTAAAAAAGTGAAGGTCTGCAACTATTTCAGTTGCACAGTGGAAATAATTTTGACACCTCCCTGAAAAGGAGGAGCATCTTCACAAAGGCATAGGGCCAGTGTTCTAACTAAACAGATTCCATCACTGGCGACAAGAGTAGGTACGTGTTCAGTACAGAAAAACCACGCCCTGGCCATAGATTTCTAATTCCCCAGCATTCAGTACACCCAAAGGTCATTAAATTAGCTTGGCTTGTGTCCCTCCTGCTGTGAAGAAAAAATGCTGTGGGTGCTGTCTGCTTCACCCATATGCAGTCATAATGTTGGCTCTGACTTAAGAGCCTTCACAGCTGTGCTGTAACACAGTTAGTTCCCGACATGACTCAGATGCAAGATTTAATTTACTCTGCACAGTACTTTTAAAAAAAGAGAATTCTTGTGAAAAACATTGAAGCTGAAAACAGAGCACGTGTGAACAAGAGGCTGCGTCTTAAAAGCTGATTTCCTATTGTCTTAGGAAATAATTTCAGTGAAAATGGAAAGATGGGAGAAGGATGAAACAATTTCATTGGCTTGGCCACCTTAATTCCTGTAGTTGTCCATTAAGACATCAGTCATAATTTGTATTACTTTTAGCTCATAAATAGGAATCATTAAAGAAGCACATGGGGGTTTTTTTTCTGTTCTGTGGCTCTAGATTCAGCTTTTCTTGTAGGTCAAATGTTCTTTAAAAGTAAGCTTTGAGAAGGGAATAATTCATTTTAGCATTTGTGTTGATTCACTAAGTACAATTTGAGCAAAACCAAAAGCTTCTTTACATTTACCTACCTTCTTTTTTGTTCTTTTTTTTTTTTCTTTTTCCTTTCTCTCCCTGTGCTTTTGGTTGCTATTTGAAATGTTTTATTTCGGTGAAACTATACACTGCTTTTTAAATTCTGAACATTAAAATCCACACAGAACAAAAAATACCTATCTCATTCCTGACATTGGGGTAATTACAACAGCAAAACCTGAAGATTCTTAGTTTGGATTGAGCTCTTTTGGAAAAAAGGGATAGCTGCCAGCCTGTTCTGCAGGTCAGAACTTCATGAACTTTTAAAGAAACACTTAGATCATTTGCTTAAGGATGATCTTCTGGGGAGGTTGACCTGAGGTCACCTGATAAATATGTAAAACCATGTCTCTCATTTGTCTTTTGGAAGTAGCATGTTATTATCCATAAGGCCCAAATGCACAAGGAATCCCATATTGCAGGAGTAGCATGAATGCTCCAGTCATCTGACGCAGAAGTTGGTCAGTAGTTTTGGTCTACACATTTTTCATGGAATCTGCATTAGAGCACAAATAAGTTTAATAATATGTTATATGTTATGTTACATTATGTTATATGTATTTTTCAGGTTCCCCCATACAAAAATGCTCCAGTTCCAATATGAGTACCTCTTCCTGTTTAGTCCAGATGCCAAAACATAACATCCCTGGGAAGGTGTTAATCAAGGACTACTAAATATTCCAAAACTGCCTGCAGGTTACAAGAATAAAGGTGGCTGGATTTATAGAGGGCCTGTTTCTGTGCAGAGTATGTGAAAAAGAAGCCTTTGATTATAATGTGTCCATGGTGTTCAAGGAAAGTTGTTGTGCCACGGTATGTTCAGGCCAGGTAATTAACACAAAACAAAATGGCAAATGCTCAGTCAAAAGGAATTAGCTTATGACTGCAAATGGCAATTGTCTCGTGGTTTTACACTAGAATTATAAAATCAATTCTACAACCACTGTTATGTAAAGGTAGCACTAATGAGAAATTCCAGTGTAGCTGAGCATTCATTACGTGCTGAATCACAGCAAATATACTGCAGAACCAAAGGAAGATAAGGTCCTTAGGTTATTTTGGTTTTTTATGGGATGTAATCGTTAAGTGATATTTATTATGCTTCTATATAGAAACCTCAGTATTCATTTCTGTACTGATTCAAGCCCACAGATTGAACACCCGATGCCTATGGGAAACAGTAGTCACCTTGGGTAAATCTGGATTCTTAATCTAGTCAGAGAATAGTTCAGTATCCAAGGTGAACAATACAGAACTCTTCTTAGAATTTTAATGTTACAACCAAGTGTTTTTCTGTAAAAATTGAAGCTTTGGTGAAATGGTGAAAATAAGGGTGTCACTAAGAGCGTTCTCTTTTTTTGAAAGGATAAACTTAAGAAATGGAGAGAAATCTTTACTGTGGCCGAATAGGCTGAAAAAAATGAAAAATTGAGTATGAAACTGGCTCTAAGTCAAACACTGTGATCAAATTTCTTTTATTTTTCTTTGGCCATTTATATGTGAACACTTACAATATAATATTCATTATGTTTCATGTAAATTAAACAATTACTGTGATGAACACGTGGGCATTAAAACAGAAAACAGAACGGCAATAAATTGATCTGCATGCAATTTTGATGAACAGTTTAATTCTCATTCTATACTTGAGAATGCTTTGGATCCAGTGTTTAGTCTGTACATTCCTATTGAAGAAAGCCAAAAGAATCAATCCAGGTATTATTTAATACTGTGATTCTAATTTATGTCCTGAGCATAACTCCAAAAGACAAGAAAACCTGTGCATAAAAATTTGAAGCATTTTATCTTAAGTTCCAGGATAGCTCAACAAGACGTGGTTAGCTTTGTTGATTGCAGCTACCTGAAGATTATAAACCAAATAACCCAACCTGTTAAGTAATACGATACTGGATATGAAATTGCACAAAATTATTCCAACATCCCAACAGAGTCAATGAGGAAAATTGGGAGGTATTTAATTCATGTACAAAATGTATGTTGAAAGTAGCATCAAATTGTTTAAGATCTCTTCATACTTGCTTCAACCTCTTCCACCTCAGGTGACCCCAGCAGGAAAAGAGTAAGTGTACGTACAAATGTATTTCAGATAAATAGGTTTTGAAATAAGACCCAATACCTTTCAGGTTAAAAGTTAACATTAAGCTGTTCTTCTTTTACAGTGCATACAGAGATACGGGTCACTTTGTTTGGTATTACAGTTCATGACATTACTGAATTATTGATAGGAGGGATGGTTCCCTGGGTCACTGTAATCTCAGCAACACTTAAGAACGAATGAATGAATGAACACTGCTGCAGCTAATGACCTGGAACAAATTAATCCACTGAGAGTAGCAATTAGTTTGGTAATTGTTTTAGCAGAGATGCACACTGTGACAGCTTTCTATGTTCACTTTGGAGTCTCCCAAACTTCCCAGCAAAATTAGATTCATAACAAAACCTGCTTAAGCCAGTTTATTTGAAAAAATAAGGTTTTGTGTTCTGAACCTCGTCTCACTAAAGTTTTGCATGGAATGAAGAACGAAGTAGGCTTAAAAGGGATTAGTAGTCCTAAAATGTCTTTTTTTTTTTTTTTGTGGGGGGGAGGGGTGTGGGTCTCCTATATCTTTTTGGTTGAGGAGCAAACAGAAAGAAAAAGGTGGTACATGTTCTGCATTGCTGTCAAGTGTCATAATGACAGCATCAAACTGAATTATTTGAGAAGTTTTAGTTTGGATGCCTGGTGCTTCTATTTGGGATCTTATTTTCTTCATATATTTTTTTATGTTTGCTTGCTCCCCAAATCATAGTGTGAGGCAGAGATGGTGAGAAAAGCACTGGAACAGAAGTGTTGCAATTTTCAGGCCTCCCTTTCATTAACACTGACTGCTCATTCACAGAAATATCCAGTTCTGGGAATCTTTCAGTCTGTGCATCCACATCAGATACTTACCTTTTATCTTTGTTAGGGAGCACTAAGAATTAAAAATCCTCTTTAGGCTGTACCCATTGACTCCTAATATGCATGAAAAAATGCTTCACCACAAAGGCTTTACCACAGGACTTCCTTTTTTTCACATGCATATATATCACATGCAGCATACACTAACTGTTCATATGCAGTCTCAGTGTGCAGTTTGCACACACAAAAGTTCCAGATGTGCTGTGTATCTTGTTTAGTTGACTTTGTTCTTCTGTAAAGCCAAGAGAAATATTAATCATTCATTTACTGTTAGGGGATGGGTCTTCTTCTCATGTTTCAGTAAAGGGGGTGGAAAAGCAAAGTAAGCCAATTTTTTTCCTATTTAAGGCCAAAGCTGGGGAATGCTTGTGGCTGAGTTCTGTACATGGCCCGGTGCTGGAAGGGCAGGGAACAACCGATGTTGCTATTTTGAATAGATTTTTCTTCCCCCCCCATTTTTATTTTTGCACAGAGAGTCTCATGTCTAATATTTAGACATGATGAGCTTTGTGCAAAAAGTAACTTTGCTCATTCTTGCCGTGTTTCAACCCTCAGTTATTTTGGCACAACAAGACGGTGAGTAATTCAAGCTTCTTATGATTTAATGTTTTTATTTTATTTTTATTTTCACCAATGATTTTAATAGCTTATAAGAAACGTGTATTCACAAATCTCACCAGAACACTCTTCCTTCACTAATTCAGCAGTCAGATATTTAATGCTAAATCTGAAAGCTGCAGGAGTTTGCATTACCATCCCCAAAGGTTTTTCTTCGCTTTGCTTTCTTCTGTGATTACAAGGACTGTACAGTGCTGTCTGCCTTAGCTGCATTTGTTCTTGTTCTTACTTGTTTCCCTATTACAGACACCGGAGAGTTTTTAAGCTATTTCTTTTAACTCTTGGAATAACATTTTAACTGTTAGCTCTGTGCTGCCTGGAAGTTATTTGTCACAAGCAGTAAGTCTTTACTTCCAGCTTTTTCATTTGGAGTTCTCTGTACTTGTGTGCCTTCCACTGGCAGCGTGGGGGTTTCTTTAAACAATTTGCATGCAGAAAAAAGCCTTAAAATTCTAAGCAGTTTTGATGAAACAGTTTTTAAGAGGATATATGAAAATATGTCAGCTTATGGGACTTTTACTTAGGCATAAAGCAGGAGGGTAAATTAATTCCCTCAGCTGCAATAGTTTGAACTGTGCATCTGCAGTCTGTTTCAGTCCCTCAGGAGACTGATTAGCAGCTGATGGTATCTGTGAGTCCATGGGAGTATGTGTGTGCATGTTTACAGAGAGCGGGAACACCAAAACCCAAATGTACATGGAATTTGGG